ACCTTCCTCTCGCTCCTCTCGGTCAACAGCGGCGCCCGCAGCCTCCTCCCGGCACTGCACGCACCGAGCGCGAACGAGACATGCCCGCCCTGCCTCGCCCACGGGAAGCTCAGAAAGACAGAACATTCGCCACGAAAATGTCGGGTCCAGTACAGCGGAGACCTGGCGTTATGTTCTTTCTACTGCATGGGAAAATATTGATGGGATTCTGATAATCTCTAGATACAAAGGTCTCTAAATATGACGTACAGTGTATTATGAATCTGCTATTCTATAATAGGAAAGGTCAACATCTTCCCCGCAACTGCAGAGCATTTGTGTCATTCGTGCTCTAGTTTTTCCTCTCTGAGTATCAACACTCGAACACCTCCAGCCACAGTAGATTCCCAGAGTAATTGCACATATAAGTGATGAAGTTCCCTTCTCAAAAGGAGGGATTTTAGGGACTGCCTTTCTCTCTCCGCTTTGTTACTTTTCACCTGAACATTCGAGGCTGCTCCGAATCAGCCTGCGTTGCTTCCCTTCTCCAACCACTTCTTTCGAATTTTTCATTACAGCCTTATGCAACAGGCCATGATTATGCAACTTAGTGCTCCGTTCTTGATCACAGCCTTAGCGATAGACCCTATTAACTAGGGAATATATAAATTTGGGGGGAAAAAAAGATAAAAATGAAATGCAGGTTAAAAGCAAAACCAAACTAACCAACCAATCAACAAACATACAAACAAACAACAAACAAAAACCCCACGCGATTTCTCTCTTAAAACTTATTCAGTTGAGGACCGGTAAACAAGAGGGAACTACCACACATGATGAAACCCTTGACGATAAATAACTACAGAAAGAGAAAAAATAATCAAAGTTCTGATCAAGTCGGAGACCAATCAAAGATCAATAAAGTGATGTCACTATTGTAGCCATTTATGCAGCCTTCTTACACTAAAAGATGGAGGGAACAGGGTGGAAGACAGGCATAGCTGTGAGGGAAGAAAATTTTTCCTTCATCAAGGCACGTCTCCTTAAAACAGTGAAATAATATAAAAGGTCGCAGTGCATCTATTTGGCAAACCAAGAGCAGGAAGGAAAAATCTCATCACTGAGAGTCAATCATACTCCAAACTCTACCATAGAGAATTAGTGGATCTCCTCCTAAAAGTAAGGATCTGCCTTCACCTTTACTAACCCATATTACTTCACACAACACAAGGTTCGCAGAAAACCATGAACCTGAACATTTGATGAACAAAGGGACGCTGTCGCTACATTTCTACTCTGAGAGGAAAATTAATAAAAGCAAAACTGAAAGCAGACAATTCCAAGTCATCTACGCTTTTATGCGGCATAAGTTGAATGACAAGAACCTCCCAACTGAGCCGACATCTGTGACACCTCACGAGGCAGGAAGTGCCGGTTGGCAACGCCTGCTGCATAAACGGGGCAAAGTTATTACCTGCACCTAACAACTACCACCGGCATTAAGAGCAAAAGAACAGAAACAAAGCCCAGGAGCGAAATGCCGCCAGCACGTCGTTAGGAAAAGCCGAGAGAGAAGGAGTGAAGGGGCTTACAGACCTGCGGAGCGTCGGGGTCGGTGGGTGGCTCTCCAGCGACGGTGCTGCTGCTCGAGCTCGGCTTCTCACAGGGCTCCCCGGCCACAAGCTCCTCCGCGGGCACGATGGACAGCGGCGGCGGCGGCCAAGCGGCCTCGGGGGTGGCGCGGGGCGGCGCCGCCACGCACAGGTTGTAGGAGTAGGGCAAGGTGCCCTCGCAGAAGTCGGCCGGGAAGGCGGCGCCGGCCAGCGACAAGCGCNTAGGAATCCAGCGATCGAGCCGGGCCGCAGCGGGCGGGGCTGCAGCGCTCCGACCTTCCTCTCGCTCCTCTCGGTCAACAGCGGCGCCCGCAGCCTCCTCCCGGCACTGCACGCACCGAGCGCGAACGAGACATGCCCGCCCTGCCTCGACCACGGGAAGCTCAAAAAGCCATTTATCACGAAAATATTTGGGCGGTACAGCGGAAACCTGACGTTATGTTCTTTCTGCCGCACGGGAAAATACTGGTGGGATTGTGATAATCTATAAATACACACTTCTCTTAATATGGCGTGCAGAGTATTCTGAATCTACTATTCCATGATAAGAAAGTACAGCATTTTCCCTGCAACTGCACAGCTATTTGTGTCAGTCGTCCTCTAGTTTTTCCTCTCTGAGCGTCAGCTCTCGAACACCTCCAGCCACAGTAGATTCCCAGGCCCTGAGCAGTGATGAAGATTCCTCCCCAAAAGCAGCCATTCTAGGGACTGCCTTTCCCTCTTTGCTTTTCTATTTTTCACTTGCACATCCAAGGCTGCTCTGAATCAGCCTGCATTGCTCTCCTCCAAACAGTACTTCCGAATTTTTCATTACATCCTAAACATTAGGATGTAATATCCTGTATGCTTTTGCATACAGCTTAGTGCTCCATTCTTGATCACAGCCTTAGCGAGAGATGCTATCCAGCAAGGAAAGTATAAACTTGATGACAAAAAAAGACGAAAACGAAACACAGAATAGAACAAAAACAAGAAAGTAACTAACGAACCAAAAAAACAAAACACGGGAATTTCTTAGATCACATTCAATCTCTCCGCAGAAAAGCCAGCTGAAGAACAGTAAATAAGAAAGAACCACCAAACACTGAATGAGAAATAATCACAGAAAAAGAATAAGGAAATAAGGGTCTGATAAAATACACTGATCTCACTATAGCTTGCCATTTCAGTAGCCCACTTGCACCAAAAACTGGGACGGCACAGGGTGGAAGTTAGGCATATTCCTTAGGGAAGAACAATTCCCACTTCTTCTAGCAAGTTTCCTTAAAACTCAAAAATAACAAACAGGTCACAGTGCACCTACACGGTACAGAAGGATCAGGAAGGCAAACTCTCATTACTGAGTGTCAATCGCATCGCCAACTCCACCATGCGGAATTAGCAGATCTCTTTCTAAGATCTAAGTATCCACCTTCACCGGGACTAACCCATAATATTTCACACAACGCAGGGTTTGCAGAAAAACCTGAGCAGCTGAAGAAAGAGGTGCTGTCGCTACGTTACTGCGCTGAGAGGAAAATTTAAAAAAGCAGAAGGTAGAAGCAGATCTTTACAAGTCCTCTGCGGTTTTAGGCAGCGTAAGTTGAACAACAACAACCTCCCAACTGAGCCGACATCTGTGACAGCTCATGAGGCAGGAAGTGCCGGTTCGCAACACGGGGCAGGGTAATTACCAGCTCCTGTGGAAACAGCGACAGGCACTAACTGCACCAGAACTGAAACTAACCTCAAGAGCCCACTGCCACCTGCAAACCCGTAGAAAAAATTCAGAAAGGGGGAGTGAAGGGGCTTACAGACCTGAAGTGTTTCGGGGTCGGCGGGCGGCTCTCCCGGGACGGTGCTGCTGCTCGGACTCGGCTTCTCGCAGGGCTCCCCGGCCACAAGCTCCTCCGCAGGCACGATGGGCAGCGGCGGCGGCGGCCAAGCGGCCTCGGGGGTGGCGCGGGGCGGCGCCGCCACGCACAGGTTGTAGGAGTAGGGCAAGGTGCCCTCGCAGAAGTCGGCCGGGAAGG